TTTCTGTATCTCTCCAATCTTGTCTCCTCTCAGCCTGTTATAAGTACACGCAGCACAGCCCAAGCCTCCAAGGGCTCTGGCTGGAGCTGTTATCCTGCGTCCAGCCACACCGTACTGCCCTGTGCTCTGACCACATGGGATATTAGAAGTTCCTCAGAATTTTTTTGGAATGGCAAGAAACAACCACCAGAACCCTGTACTCCCCAGGTAGTCCTGGATTTAACTCACACATAAACACAAACATAATAATCAAATTAATCTCTCATTGGGAGCCATCACTTAGAATTCCTGAGAAACGATGGGAAACACTGCTTATTTTCATCAGAAGGAGGGGCAGAGGAGGGTACCCTTCAAATGTAGTTTTTCCTCATCTAGTATCACCTGCAAATTTAGGGAAGAAGACCTTAACACACTCTCACACACACACACTTTCCCAACTGCTACCTAACTTCTGTCTATGTATGCATATGGATACACAACGCGCTTCTACAATTCACCATCAGTGCCCTCTAACTTAATGTCTTGTTTTAAGGTACAATTGAGCCACATTTTGAAATAATATCCACAGGCTTCCCCCCATCAACTCAGGAGAAATTGCTGGTGGAGCAATACACTACTCATTATAGTACCTTGTGGGGAAGTCTCTTGTGTCTGATGGTCACCTGAGTGACTGAGGGACCTAGGGCAGCCTCATATTCACTCTTCTGGAGAGCAAAGGAATGGCAAACTTTTTGCAAAAGTTCTGAGTGGCTTTTTTAATTAACAAGATGAAAATTGGCCAAGCTGTTATGGAAGGGCCCTCATATCTCTCTCCCGCTGAAGACGAACTGGCTGGTTGCTGTCTGCACTGCAATATTCCTGAGCCCGTTTCTTGCTCTCCAGAAAAACCCATGTGTGCTGCCTCCTAGCCAAGGCGGATAAGTTACACACCTGGTGAGCCCTCAGTATTGAATGTTGCTGTGTGTGCTACCTGTACAAACAAGCCAAAAAACCTAAGGAACTAACTGAAAAGCCCTAGTTTCTGGGTTTCAGGCTGTGATGTGGACTCAAAGGAATAGGAGAAGGGGCTTTTCCTTTCTCGATCAGGGCTTTTTTGACTTCTTGATCAAGCTTTCAAGGCTGTCTGGAAGCAAAGGGGTTGGATTTAAACTGTGGCACATTTAACCACTCCTCCTCCTGCTGTCCCAAGAGCCATGCAAGCTCCCTCCTGGCTGATGGTAGAAGCCAGGAAGCAAATCCCAACTCCCTCACCTTGTGCTCCGATAGCCAAAAATGAGTCCGTAAAGCACAAGCTGTCAGAGCAGGACCTGGCTCCTGCTGACCCACACAGCATCATTATTGCTGCAGCTGAGTCTGAAGCACTAATGCCCCAGACGCAACAGCGCTTTGATGTTCATGCGGCAGAGAACAGGGGATTTGAAGCAAGCCTGCAAGAGCAAAGCCTTAAGGAGGATGGGGAGGCGGTGGGGTGTGTGTGTTAGACTTCAGTGGTGTTGTCAGGGTGCAGAGAGTGCCAGGGTATCCAGGGGGAGGGGGGGAGTGAACTCAGTGACACGAAGCAGCAAACAGTTCACTAAACCAGAGTATTTGCCTTTTGAATCAGGGTCACTTCCACGCTATTGTTCTCTAGAAAAACAGATCAACTTCAAGTTTTTCTTTTGCATCCTTGGCACTGCATCGCTGACATCATTTTTCTCCGAGATATGGGTCATGTTTGCTCTCAGCTGAGCTCCCTCACTTTTCAATCCCTCTCACTCTTCGCACTAATCTACCAGCGTTTGGATTCCCCCATGCTGTTCCATCTGCACCAGGTGGGAGCGCAGACTGCTAAAACCACAGCCAATTTCCTCTGCACCTTCCCCTTTTCTTGCCTGGTGTTTATTTTTCACATGAAAACCACGTAGCGTGGGACATAACCATTTTTGCCCAATATCATAACTATGGTCATGTTTTCTTCAAAATACATGTTTTTAACCAGTTGGAGGGAGAACAGGCTTTAAGCTCTTCTGTGTTCCCAAAACATCCAGCTACAGGCAAGGCTGCCCAAGCCTCGCTTTTGGAAGGAGCATTTCAGCTAGGTGTTTCAGAGCTCCCATTAAGATTGGAGGTTAGTACACAAATGCTGAGATACCCTCGGCTTCAGCAGACTCAGCTGTGACAGGAGTTCAGAAATCCAGGGTGCAAAAGGCAGAGCAATGCTAACGCTTCCCTGGGGAGATGCTGCTTTCTAGACCCTGCTCTTACCTGGCTCTCTGAGAGTGAAAACATCTAAGTTGCAATTGCTCATCCAAATTTTTAAGCCTTTGGGCCAACCATGGCTACTTCAGATCACCAGTCCATGGAGCAACTCAATAGGCTTAGTCCTTCTCTCCTCATCTGAAACCAGACTTGCAAAGGAAAATCCCTGCAGCTTTCCCTGTGAATTTGCTTCTCATTACGACATGGACTTTTGAGACCTGATTTTCACTGTGTTCCTTCATTCTCCCCTCTAGCTAAGCCTGACTGTGAGCAAGACAGCATGACTGGATTGTATTTGAGAAAGTCATACGTGAAGCGAGTGAAACATGCTGCCAAAATACCACCCCCCCTTATGGGAAACGAGAGGATTGTATTTCATTTTGCAGTTCACTCAGCTGAATCCCAAAGCCTCTGGCTGCCTGGAGAGCCACCCTCTTTGCTCAAACACTTTTTGCTAGTGACAATTTACAAAATCAGAGCATCAACATGCTGTAACAAAGCAAACTCCAGCTGCACTCTTACTGTAAAAGATACAGTGCGGCAGTCTCTGCTCGCTCACAGTTTCTCTTCCACAGTCTCTTCATCATCAGACACTGGTGACTACTCTGTCAGCTGATAGCAAAGAATATTTGAAAGAATTTCTTTTACAGACACAGACCCAATAGCTCCTCTAGCATAAACTCCTTGTGACTGTATTCAGGTAGGGCTACAGAGAAACCTTTTTGTGGGTGAATCAAAATCAAAGCAAGACTTACGTTTAGAATGAGCTGAAGTGGTCTGAATCCATTCAGCAGCGATTCTCCTTTTCTGCACACTTTTTTCCCCTCCCACAAGCAAATCCATGCCCGGTTTGACTTGCTCACACAAGCAGGGGAGACCTCAGTTCAAGCCCACTCAGCCTGACTTGAACCATCAATACCTAAATTCCCCAGTGACACACTCAGACGGGACAGGGTATGTGAGTGAGATGTTCTGCGTCTCTCCTCTGGGAGTATTGACTCCAGCAAAATCCTGCTGCTTTACACTGATTTAGCTCTGCTCTACTCTTGCCTCAGTTCTCGAGGGAAAATATCAAGGGCAAAAAAAAACCCCAAAACCATTAAAAAGGGAAATAGATAAATACTTTTTCTATAGCAGGAATACTTTTGCTTTGAATTCTAAACAAGGTCCCAGGGCATTGAGGTTGTTTTTGATTCCTTGGTACCAGTGCTCAAAAACACACAAGGAACACCCACTGACTAAATGCAGTCCTAAGTATGTATCTTGGTTATTATCAGGAAACTGCAAAGATGAACAGGATGCAACTTTCAGAAATCAGGTGGTTTCTGATGGGGGGAAATTAGTGAAGCACAATTATAGTAAACGGAAGCAAAACAAAATAACAGCATCGATGAAATGGATACTAAAACCTATTATCCTTGTTTATGATAAAGTCTGTCATAAAGGCAAAGGGATCAAGTACTTTCTAAACCTAGATATATCCATTTGTAGAGCATCTCTAAGCACCTACATCTAATTGCATCTTCCTGGCAGAAGAATTTGATTTTTGTTTCAGAGCTTTACACCACTTAAGACTAAGCGAATTCTCACTAGTCCTGTTCAAGGTTAGAGGCCAGAACTTTTAGTGAGGGGATAATCCAGTTATTAAGGCTATTAAGGCCTTAGCCTGCAATATAAGAGACCCCAGGTTGAATTCCCTGGTCTTTCTAGGCTTCCCATGCCATGTAATTACTTATAATCATTTATGTCACTGCAGTAGTTGAGTGGTCTGATTTTCAAGATATCTCAATATCATGGGTTAGAAAGCACTGTCACAGCTGTAAATCAGGGAGCTCAAGTTCACTTTTTGCTGGAGGTAAACACAGTAGTGATTAGAAGATGATCACATAGTAATAATGCTGTATCTAAGAGAAATAATATTAGCATCAGAAGTCTGTGAGAAAAAAATCCACATATTTAGTAGCTAGAAAAACCCAGCATCTTTCTTCATAAAATAGCCAGGTTACGTTTCCCGATTTGCAAGTTAACACACTTGTCATTTAATCACCTTTTGATTCATTAGAGTAAAGCCAGGCAGTTCCAGTGCACTAGGCCCTGTTTCTACACGCACAGCCTGAAGTCCTAAAAAGCATCATTCCCATGTCACAGGCAAAGATGTGAGGCACGCGGGTAAGAGTGCTGTGGTAAAAATTCAGGAATACAAGGACTAAGTATAGCCAGAAACAGCTCTCCTCAAACTGTTTGCTGTACAGCCCTTTTTTTTTTTTTCTCCCAAACACACAAAAATGAAAAACCTGTCTTCGTACACAGGTAGACAGCAGTCCCTGGGGATGGCTGCTATTACCAACAGTCAGAATGAAGAATTAACATGAATTCTTCACTTCTTCACCACTCCAGTTGCATGGAAATCATACAATCACTACTGATTAAATTCTGTGTACACCTGCTGCTTCTGCTCTGGAAGATGACCACATGTTGTAAATCATTAAGTCAGCAGGGGAATGCCCAGACACACAGATATCCACACACTTTGCCTGCCAAGTTGGCTGCTGAACCATATAAAGGCCATAACTGTGCAAACACACGTAAGTGTGGCAGGTTTGTTTGTTGGGGTTTTTTTTTGTTTACCCTTCAGTCCAAGATAAGAAAAGGCTCAGGGTCAGGGTAACCGCAATTTCTGAATGCCAGCCCCGTTTTCTTTCGCTAAATTAAGGCTGAAGAAAGCCAGGACAGAGAGCATGCAAACAGCCAAGGGAACTCACTGCTTTGAGGATAGCCACTGCGTCCTGCTGGAGCCACGTTGGGTAGACAACCTCGTCGTTCAGAATGGCCTCAAAGAGGTCGTCCTCATTCTCTGCCTCGAAGGGTGCATGGCCGCACAGCATCTCATACAGCAGCACACCCATGGCCCACCAGTCTACATCAGGGCCATACAGCATCTCTTGCAGGATCTGAAGAAGGGATGGGGAAAGAAATATCAGCCCCAAAGCTTCTTAAACTGAGCAGGGGAGGAAAACAGATTTGGAAACATTAACACAGAAGTTCTCGCTACATCCTAACAGTTCTCTCCGCTAGGCTGGCTGGATGTCCAGGAACATACATGTGATCTCAAGCTAGGAACCCCCAGATCTGCACTCAGGTACATCAGATCCATTAAACAAGGGCTGAACTAGCTTGGCTGCTCGCAGAGTCACCTGGGAAACAAGTCCTCAGAAATAATGCTACAGCTTAGCAGGAGAAGGGGCAGTGAAACTGGCTGAGCCTCAGAAGTGGCAGAGCAGCCATGTGTGGAGGTTGACACCACTTTTTCCTTGCCTCTGGGAAGGAAGTGGCAAGGCTTCCAGCTGGAGAGGGAAAGGAGCGTGAGTGTGTGAGAAAGGCACAAACACCAACCACAGACAAAAATTCAATTGTGTTGAAGAAGGACCTGAAACCCTGTCAGAACATCTGGCAGTGTCTGGAGGGCAGCTGTTCCTTAAAGAGGTGTTTATTAATTTTGTAGTGAGACTGGGGAATGACAGGGAAGGGGAGGAGGTAGAAAAAGGAACTAGGAAGTGAGGGAGAATTCAATCTCTTTTCAAATCAAACTGGGCCAGTATCTGTATGTGCCTCAAGATTTTTGCAGCTGTGCCTCCATTTTTCACCTGACATTTCCTCAAGAAAAACAGAGGCTTATCTTGGTGCCTACAGCAGACTGAAGATTTACTCCTGCTTTGCTTGCACAAGGGACTGATAATACAAGCATGCACCTGGCAATCAAATAAGGTGTAGCTAAAGACACCAGAGAGCACACTTGCTGCTTCAAAGCTAACCTATACTTTTCATATTGTAACCAAGTTTTCCTGGCCAAAGAAAGGTTTTCTATACCTCTGGAGCGATGTAGTCTGGTGTACCACAGAAGGTGGCTGTGGTAATGCCATCGTGAATGCCCTCTTTGCACATTCCAAAGTCTGCCAGCTTGCAGTGACCCTCATAGTCCAGTAGCACGTTGTCCAGCTTCAAGTCCCTGCAACGAGAATTGTTCACTGAGTCGCTATGTGCTTTGAGCAGCCCCAGCACAAATGGAGGCAGTGTCCCAGGTCTCAGAAGCTTAACCTGTAAAGTGGACAAGCCTCATGATCATAAAAAAAATAATAAACAGAAGTCATGCAGGAGGGTTTTTTCTTTTGCTCCATCTCTTATAAAAAGGAGGGAGGAACAAACATCATTCTGCCGAACTGCAGTTAATATGGGCAGGTGCTATACGAGTTCGCCCACATGGCTTTCCAAACACACCACAATCCTGGCTGGCAGAGCTCCTGCTCATTTAGCTCTGGGACTCACTGGAACAGAGGTTGCCAGAGCTGTCAAATTGCATAACGATGTTATGATGCAGCAAAACGCACCGCACGGGACGCGCTCTGATTCAGCGAAGCCCTGTGCCGGGAGCATGCAGCCAAAGCGGCATGTGAAACCTCTTCAGAGGGGGAGCAGATTCCCTCTTCTCCCAGGGTTAAGTCCCAGACTTCCCTGTATGGGGGCACGCCTGACTGATAAACCCCACCTGGAATGTTATCCAAGCTGAGAAGAAAAGAAACTCTGCCAACACAGGGGGAGGGCAGGGGGAATCTTCAGCAAGCATGGGATACTTCCACCATAAGACAAAGTCTTAAAGTTCTCCCAGGTGTGTCGATTCCAGCAGGACTGCACTAATGTAAGTAGTGAGCATCCCCTGTACTGCTTATTGGGGTGGGGACCTCCTTGCCACTATCACAAGAGACTTGCCGCCAAATGCCATACTGTACAAGCTGCAGAAAGGCACATTTTCCAATACGTCACCTCTAACAGCCTGGGAGCTCCTCATCAAAAGCAGAGCTGCCAAAATGACAGAGCTCTAACAAAGCTTATCAGCTTGCCTGACCTTGAGATTGCCTGAGGGAATAGCCTGCAGTCAGCAGTGCCATCATGAACATGACCAGAAAGCACAGGGTCATCTGCAGACTTAGGCAATGCCTGCCTAAAAATACATACCAGCTTGCAGCACCTCTGCTTTTCGGCTGCCAGACAAGCTCTAAGCACTGTCACAGATGGAGGAAAGGAGCTATGATGGGAGCTCTGTACAGTACGAATAGGTCACAGTTCATCTTTTGAACCATCTCAGGTGCTGGCCCAAGAGTTGCACTGAGCCCTCACAGCAGCTCTGAGGCAGGGAAGTGTTGCTATTGCCATCTTACTGAAATGGAGGACTCCTTATAGGCCTAGACAAAGCCACTTTCAAAGTCATTCAGATGCCCAGATAAGGGTCAAATAACCAAATACATCTGAGGGTCTCAGGGCCTCTTTATGAAATCCATGCTGGAACTTGATCCATTTTGTCCTCTGGTTGCACATCTGTTTCTCTGGGAAGGGGGAACGAAGAGGAGGGTGGTAACACAGGTGGTGGCACATATGGATGTGCTGGGAGAGCTATGGGAGAGCTGAAATCTGAATTCAGCTTGATCCTGTTCATTGTCCATCTATGATCTTAAAGTGAAAATCAGGTAGTCAATTGCTGATTTGCATTGGCATGTCTACAGCTCGTACTACCACCAGAAGCCTCCCTGGAGCTTGAAACAGCTCTCCCTCAACTTCAAAGTTGCAGTGGAAAGATCAATGGCGCACTGTGCTAGACAATCAGAGCCACATTCTGTCCTAAAGAGATAAGAAAGAGTATTATTAGCCTCTTTTGAACAGATGGAAAACTGAGGGGTAGAGGTTAAAAAATTTGCCCATGTCCCCCAGAGCCAAGACTCAACACCGGCTTCCTGAATTCCAGCTCCGGATCTTAATCATAAGATGATACATCCTCTCTCTCCAACTTTAACATGGCACAGCAACACAAGCCAGCAAAAACCCCTCTGTAATGATGCAGCCCTTCCCAGTAGGCCCACCAGCTATCTGGTGGTCAGTGAAATTTGGATGCCAAGGACAGTGCCTATGCCTGTCTTATGCTGCACTGTTTGCTCTGGGTGGGATGCTCAGCAGAAGACACTTATTTTTCCCCTTCTGAGAATCAAAAATGGCCGCTGAGGCATGTGGGCAAAAGCTCATCTTGGAAAGGCTTTAGGCGAGCACAGTGAGAGGTATTGTACGTGCTCGCCCATGACAGTATGCCTTCAGCGGCAGTTTACAGCCAAAGCTCCTGTTGCTCTTCCCTGTGGTTCCTGGCAGAGCAGGGAAGCCCTGCAAGCATGAAGGCAGGCCTTGTTTCCAGGAGTCTGCAACGATGTGGTTGAAATGCGCAGTTTATTCTTGGCTCGGTTTTAAATGCAGCAAACACCTTTTCAGTCCTGGGCAGGCCTGATTGTTGGGGGGTGCCCCTGGGGGCGCAACTGGAAGGGGAATTTTGGTGAACCTGCTTGGAGATCCCCCTTCCAAACCTTCCCCTCACCCCCCAAACATCCGCCACGTTCTGGCATGCTCTGTGAATACCTCAAAATACACCTTCCTTATATCCGAGACAGCAGAAACACTGTCACGTATGCTGAGTGAGCAGGTTATGGTCCCTCATGGAGAGCCTGAGGAGCAGAGGCAAGATGCGGCTACGAGGCAGGACCAGCTCTGCAGACCAGATCACCAGCCACTCTGTCACTTCTCAGCCTCTGCCCCACAGGACATGCCGCAGAACGCCCAAAACCCCTGCTAGCTGTGTTATGCACAATGTTCATCAAGATGGAAGGAGCTTCTGCAGGTGCAAGAGCACTCTGCGCTTGCTGTGTCTTCCCAGAGAGCCTCTATATATGTAAGTGCCGTTAAATTTAAACCATCTGCCTCTTGCTGAGCGAGTATAGTTTTAACCACACAAGGCAAATCTCCAGCCTTTTGGCTTCTCTGTGTTGCACGCTAAACCCATTAAGAGTGCCTCTTGCAGTTGGGATACCGGCTTCTCCTGACTTCTTTCCAGCAACATGAAATCCAAAACTTGCATTTTCTATTTTCACATAACCTGTAACGTGACATTAATCTGCTCTCACTTGCTCAGGCGCTCTGGCTACGTGCGGATCATTTTAGAAGAGGACCTCGTGTGATCAAAGATGACTTCTCAATGCTCTTTGCTTGGCAAGGCCACAGAAGATGGCTCCACATGTCCCTCTCAGAGCAGGTCTTGTGGGTCAGCACAGTGGCAGGCTCAGCCATGCGGCTCCTCTGGAGCCTGCTCTCTCCGGCTGCCCCGTAAGATAATTCTCTGGGAAAGTTGTGGTTTGGTCTCACGTTTGAGTATTTGTCTCAAGTGATCCCAGCAGTTGTAAGCTCTGTAATCGCTGCTTGGCATTGACAGATCTCCCCACGCGTCGAACCCCATGAACCAGCACAGCCACATGAGAGGAAAAACACTGACAGGTTTCTGAGATTTACAAGGAGCTCTTCATTTTCGCAGCAAGGATTCCGGGAAGCTGATGAAACTGGAAGTCATCCAGCTCAGAAAGCCCAAATCTACCTCATTTCCTTAATACTTGCATTTTCCATTCAATATTTTTAGCAGTTTGATGAAGCAATAACGGCCGAGAGGTTTTCTGAGGGCTGCGTTTCTAAGGCTCTGCTGAGGTTCTGCCTTTCACTGACAAACCTTCACTGGAAAACAGGCTTCATCCTGACTCAGAAAGGCAGCTTTTGTCCTCGCAGGCAGCTACAGCACATTGGCTTAACGGCCTCGGTTTAGTCTAGACCCAGAAGAAATGACAAAATGAGCTGCTTCACCATCAGTTGCTGGAAAGGTATTCTTTACCCACCTGCCGCTTGAGTTCAACATTCGTAAAAAAATCCAAAAATTACAACTGCAGATGATCCAGCCCTTTTCTGAAGCATACGTCAAATACAGTTTCCCTGCACTCCAGAGTTTTTCCTGTGAATAGGTGTTATACATGTACCTGCCACTTGCTTTACTCCGATCATCTCACTTGTGATGTAGAAACTATATCTGAAAGGATTAAATTTGGGTTTTTTTTTTTTCCTCTTTTCGTTTTACCACCCTGTGTTGTAAAGACTATACAGGCAGTAAGGACCTTCTTCACAGAAACTGGCTTCCTGCCTCAGTTCTGTGTTCTCCCAGGTTTGGTAATTCTAAAGGTCCATTTTAAAGCTCATAAAAGCCTGACATTCCCATCTCGATGTAAATCATTTAGTCATGAAAGATGTAGGTACAGAGCAATGGGAGCTAACCACAAATGTAGGTGCAACTAGTGTAATACTCTGGTCAAATGTTTTTTAAAAAAAATATATATACGTATATACATACACACACAGACAATTAAAAATAAAATCCCCAAACCTGCAATTAGCTAAATTAATAATTTTGGCATTTCTGAAAGGGAAAATTTTTCTTTTTCAAGTCTTCAGCATGCAAGGCCATTTAGACACTCTTTTGGAAACACCTTTGGGGTGAGCAAATGTGCATTCAAACCCCCTTTGCACGAAGGGAGTAGATTTTGATATTTCTCCACCTCTTCTGCTGAAGTAATTTTACTGCATAGAAATACTGAAATCTCCATCACAATGGAGAAAAATGTGTTTCTACTGCCTGCTCTGGTAGCCAAAGCAATACATGTTTCCAACTCCTGCTCAAGTGAAACTGTAATTATTTTTTGCAAAATGAAGCAACTTCAAGAGAGAAGAAAGAAAGATGTACAACCTGTGGAATCGCACAGTTGGTAAGATAATTATTGAAGAGGTAAGATTTTTCAAGTTGGAGGCTTTGTTCCAAATACAGTGGACAACAGATTTAAAGCAATATTTTGATTAAATAAGGAGGAAAACAGAGGGAGGTCTCAGTTTTATGTAAAGCCCTAAATACTCATGTAAAGATAATATAATTTCCCATTTTCCTTTGCATTCATAACACCCAAACCAAAATATTTTCTTTTACTTGAAACCAACACTCTCTTGAGTTGCAAAAAATATTGCTGCTTTAAAAAAGCAACTCTTTTGGGCCCACAAAATCTGCTCACATTCTCACAGCATCAAGGAAGAGTTAAGCAAATTTCCTAAGCA